TGCTTCTGCTTTAGGTAGACAGTCATCTCTGCCAATTTGAAGACCCCACCCAAGGTTACCTAACTAGTTAGTTATGGACAGAGTAGGGACAGAGCCCAGTTTGCAGGCTGTTGGTTTAGTGTATGCTAGGAAGTGACGACATCAAGTGAGTGTGGCATGGTAGTGATCTAAGAAGAGAATATTAGAGCCAGATGCTGTCAGATCTTGCTGATATCTTACTCACATATCACAAAGAAGAAATCTTGGGACCTGGATTACTCTTGTAGGAAGGGACAGAGCTTGAGAGTAAGAGGCAGCTCCAGGTAGTAGTGATTAAGTGCGCAACTTGAAAGTCAAACCTAAGCTTGCATTTTGGCTCTGCCATTTTTACCTGTGTTATGCTGGACACATTTAAGTAACTTTCCTTGCTAAACCTTGATTTAGCTTAGCGAAATAAATATAAAGGATAATATAAAGGATGGTAATATCTACTTCCTGGAATGATAATCAAGTACCTGGTATATGCAGTGTGAAAAATCAGGGCTTATTTGTCTCATACAGATTCTGGTTATTCCATGGAGCTAATAAAGGTGCTATGAATATTTCAGCTTGAAGAAAGACAGTATAATATGGTGGAATTACTTAGGGAAGAAGAGTTTAATTAAAATCTAAGATTCCCTACTTAGTAGTCTGTGTGACTTGGAAAAAAATCACCTGTCCACTCCGAGTCTCATGTTTCTTCTCTCTTATGGATAATCCCTGTTCTCCATACAACAAGGTTGTTGGAACTAAATGAGATTTGTGCAAATACTTTGTTAAACTCTTAAGGTGCTCTATTTTAAAGTTTCTAAATTATATAGTAATAACATCAGTAAAATTAGAATTCAGTAATCAGGGGAACTCAAATTGTAAACAATTGGTCTTCCAAGTATCTTTTTTATAATGTTGATTATAGTTCTCAGAACTAAAGTTAGTAGAGAGGTTGGGAGAATTGTGGTTAGATCAGCTAGTTTTGAATCCATGCCTTCCTCTGTGAAGCTGTATAGTCTTGGGTGATTCGCTGAACCTCTCCAAACCTCAGTTCCCTTTTTGTAACATGGGACGAATAAGAGGACTGTCTTCAGTGGGTTGATTTGAGAAATAAGTGAAAGAATTCATGTAGAGAGCATAACTCAGTGACTGACATAGATGCTCTCTCTTATTTCCCTTTCCTTCTAATGCTTTTATCAGTTTTTATGCATTAAGGAAATTTTGCCAAAATTTTGAAGTAGTTCTAGGCATCATTTAGATGTCCCTACTTTTTGAAATTATTTCCTGGCATAATAAATATCACTTTAAATAAAATTAGTTTGGCTCTCTGATACATGCTGTGATGTTGATGCCTGTAGGCTATTGGAACAAGGCATTCTTGATTG